GAAGTAAATTGGGCGTATTGTATGATTGTGCGAGTGATTGAGTGTGTATGGGTGTTTCCCAGTACTGGGTTGCAGCTAGAAGGGCATCCGCTGTGTAAAACATATGCTGGATAAGTTGGTGGTTCATTCCGCTGTGGCGATCCTTCATGAATAAAGGAATAAATGAATGTTGATGAACTTCTAACTGAAACTGAATATTGAGTAGGGGGAGGGGCTTTTTTGTGCATCATTAGGCGTGGCTAAGGATAGAGGGGCGTGGCTTAAGTGTCAAACTGATGTCATCAGAGAAACTCCAAACGCTAAAGCAAATGGTCAGACTTTACTTAAAGACGACTAAAACATACATTCATTCATTCAATCATTCATTTTCGCCTTAGTCCCTTTATTAATCCAGGGTTGCCACAGTGGAATGAACCGCCAACGACTAAAACAAAAAAAAAAACACAAAAAAACGAAGATGAGGAATGAAGTTTCGGCTGGATATTTATATTAAACTTGGAGTGATCCGATTGGCTAGTTTGTAATTAGTGATAGGAATCACCTGTAGTCAATCCTATCACATGCTCCTCATGAAATTAGTTTGTTAAACTTCATTTAAAACAGAATATTCAGAACGTTAGTGTTTATTTGAATATAAAATTCATTCATTTTCCTTCAGCTTAGTCCCTTTATTCATCAGGGACCTCCACAGTAGAATGAACCGCCAAATATTCCATCAAATGTTTTACACAGCAGATGCCCTTCCAGCTGCATTCCAGCACTGGGAAACACCCATACACACTCATTCACACACACTCATACACTAAAGCCAATTTAGTTCATCCAATTGCCTTGTAGCGCATGTGTTTGGACTGTGGGGGAAACCAGAGCACCCGGATGAAACCCTACGCCAACACGGAAAAAACATTCAAACTTCACACAGAAATGCCAACTGAGCCATCTGGGACATGAACAAGTGATCTTCTAACTGTAAGGCCACAGTGCTAACCATTGAGCCACTGTGCTGCCTAATTATGATGTATAATTATTGGTTTGTGCATTGTCACATTAAAAAACTCCCACATACATATTCCTCAGTATGTGAAATCAAAACAAACATCTTGAAGCTGCTCTCAGACGTCTTCGTTCATCTTTGATTTGGTGTTTCTGTGTCTTGATTGGCCATCATGTTTTGAAGAACATCTTGACATTGCTTCGTCAAAATCATTTTGATGACCTCCTGCTGAAAATGCGCCACTTTCAGAGTCTCCTCAGAGCCAAACGTGGAGAATTAATAGGATAAAAGCAGGATGAAGAAGATTTCAGAGACGTTTTCATCTTATACCATGCAAGAGCCACTTTGCACGAACTGAGAACAAAATAATACCAGAAATGGAACGAAAAAAAGAACAGACTCATCTGTAACTAATGATTCAGTGCCTAAACTGAAAAAAAATAAAAAGTTTATGACAAAAATACTAGTTTGTGGATCTCCTGACTTCTGTGTGCATGGTGCCGTTGTAGCTGGTGTATTCTGGGAAATTGACATACCCCTTGGTTTCGAGTGTGGTCCTGAAAAATCTCTGTTTGAAGGGCTATCCACCCCTTGCCCTTACCCCAACACCTTCAAGCTAAAGAGAATTGAGACACCCCTAACCACAGTGCAAAAAATGCTTTTCTTACTTAGATTTTTTGTCTTGTTTCTAGTCCAAATATCTAAAAAA